TCATGGCTTTTTCACACACACAAAAAAAAAATATAATTATAAAATTTGAGCAATCCGTCATCCATGTTTCACAAATATCTTATAGGAAGTATTTTTTTTTTTTTGTTTTTCTTGTAACATTTACACTGTCTACACACACATTCACAATCTGACTTCAATCACAGGTACATATTTATAGCTTACCTTTATATAAATATTTATATAAATCTTTTTTTTTTTTTTTTTTTTTTTGACACAACTTGCTGAATTCGTTATATCTTTTTAAGACAACTTGTAAAATGGTTATGATTTCGAAATCATTCAGTTTTAAAAATGCAAATGATCAGCTGTTAGTTACCTAACCATACCGACCTTTTCTTCTTGTAATGGAGTTCATTCAACTTCCATACTAATTTCAGACATAATCAAACTCGCATGTTGCATATGCATTAAATTGTTGTACCAATGTCCACAAACAACACATTTCATCAACTGTCTCCTCGAGTCCATTACTACCCAAATTTTGGTTAGAAATTGAAATCCTATCTATATGTGTGTATATATATATTTATGCGTATTATACACGTATATATATGTATTGTGTTTGACTAAGAACACCATATACGGGCCTTAGAGCAAATCATGGAGTGTTTTGGGCTCCAAGGCCCACGGTGTTGAAAATATTTTGGTCACATAATTTGCATATTAAACCATCTGCCCACTGAAAATGGCAAATTATTTTTGAGAAAGTTGTTGAAAAAGCATGGTTAGTAATTGGGAAAGGGAAAGACAAAGTTGTGGGTTAAATCAAACGGACAAAGCCACTTTCAATCATGTCGGGCATGTGTGTCTGTGTTTGGATAGTTTCAGTGATATACTGACAAAAGAGTACATGAATTTCCATACGATTGTCCCCCGACTTGTACACGTACAAAATTGCTTCTCATTCATAACTTGTTTGTATTTTGGGTATACCACAGGTATATATGTATTTACCTCTTATCTAACCCACTCTTACTTTTTACTGTCTATTTTTAAACTCTCACCTCATTCACCAGTTAGGAGTATATATTAGGTGCCTCACACGTTTCAAAACAAAAATTATGCTCCGTATTAGTTGAGACTTGAGATTAGTATTTAAAAATAAGTGGGATCAATTTCATAAAATTGTATATTTCTATTAGTTGGGCATGCATATAGCATAGTGAATATCTTTTTCATGAGTTGAGCTGTATTATTTTAAAGTTTGAACATCTTATAAATATTTTGTTGCCTGAATGATTGCGTTGCTCCTGTTCCGTTTTCACGAATCTATATTCGAATCTTACACCCTCTCTCTCTCTCTTGTAACAACATACTGACATTCTTGTTTAACAAGAAGAAGAAAAAAAGAAAGAAAGAAAGAAAGATTGAACACCTCACCATTATACGAAGCAACTAATGTTCCCTTTTTTTCTTAGTATTAGTGGTATTGCTTGGCTCTCATCCTTCTATTAGTTGACAATAGTGATTAATTTTGACTGTACATGATATTTCACTAAAATATTTTCTGGATGATAGATGTAAAATCTATATGAATGGATCATAAGTCTCACCTTCTTCAGGTGAGACTTATAAAAAAAACATAATATATATGGTTAGAAATAACTAGCTGAAGATTCTAACCGAGTCATTTGTGGCCACGCGATGTGGAATCCACACTAATTTCACATGAATTAATTAAAATACATCCAATGGCTAAAAATGAACCTGTTAGAGTCTCTGTTAATTGTTTTAGCTTGAGAATCATTTTCGTTCATAAAGTAAGTCTTGTGAGTACTTGCTTAACTCAAAACTAAAATAATAATAATAAAATTTATAAATATATATATATGTATGTATATATATTTGTAAAAGAAATATAATATAAGTGTTGTAATCTAATGGTATTTTTTATATATTTTAAAATAAGAATTCCAAGGTAATTATTGTCTCGATAAACAGAGACAGATATAAAATTAGAGTATGAGTTTACAAAAAAATCTATATTTATAAAAAAATATATTAAGCACTACTTCTCCACAAACATTTTTATTATTTTTCAACAATCTGCACTAATAATACGTGTGCCAAGTATGTGGAGGAGGAAACTGATGGCAAGAGAAAACATTAGGGAGGGTGGGGGAAATGTTTTCTGTTCCTCCCGGTCACAACCGTTTTACTTTTTCGTGGCAAAAGTTATAAAAGAAAAATAATTTAGTAATTACAACTATTACTACAAGAATTCAAATTATTATCATATTCTCTATCTTTTCATTTGTTAAAGATAATCATTGATGAGGATAAGTACTGTATCCTCTTATCACTTTTCTCCTCAAAACAAATAGTCTTTAGTGGTGAACCAAAAAAAAAAAAAGTCTTTAGTGTTTTCAAATCAAATGATGATTAGGTTAATGGAAAAGACATCCTAAATCAGTGATTGCCAGCTAACTTACACAGCAACTTCCATGGCTCTTAACGTGTCCATCTTTTCTCTTTTCCACATAGACATTGGTATTTATACATATGCGTACTCATTGCCCATGCTTAATTAAATAGTTTCTGTATATAATTATATTGAGAGGACTACATGTATTGGGTGAAATATTATAAATATATTTTAATACGGAGGAATTAAATACTTGTATGTATATTCGGTGATATATTACAAACGATGAATTAAAAATCTATATTTATCTCTTTATATATATATATATATAATTTTTTTTTTTTTTTGTGTAAATGGAGGGTATGGGAGTCTGCTAGTATCGAGTAGAGGATAGAGAGAGAAGTTAGAAGTTAGAAGTGGCAATGGCTACAACAGCCATACCCGACAGGGCGACCTCCTTCCGGGAAAAACGGGGTGCATGTCACTTTTACACACGAATCCACGGTAGGTTACGCTCACATGCCTCCATGTGAGAACAAGAACAAAATTTCATTTCATTTAGGACTAATTTCATTTTAATTTAAGCAAATAAAACTCATTCCAACTCGCATTGACAGAATGTGTGCACACTTTTCACTTCACGCACAACACTTAAATATTCATTTCTTCTTGTTTTACTTCTAAAAAAATATATTCATTATTATTATTATTTTTTTCACATTTATTACTTGACTTCACCTCTTCAATATTGTATAGGACTTGAATTTAACTTAAATTTGAGGAGTTTGGCATACGCCTTCACCTATTCTCATTCCCCTTAGGATCACTGTTAAATAGAAGTAAAATGATCGGTGAAAAACAATGCCTCATTCATCATTTGATTCTTCTTTTATGCTTAGTTTGATAGGATGGAAGAAAATTAGATGAAATGGAAAGAGAAAAAGATAAATAAAAACATCTACAGAGAAGAGATTGTGTCAAAAAAGAGATAAATAAAACATGGTTAAGAAATATTGTGTCATTCCTTCTTTCTGTTTGGTTAGATGGAAGAGAAAAGAATAAGACAATGTCTTATTTTGTTTGTTACTAGAGAAGAAAAGAGTTTAAGGAAAGTTTTGTAATTTAAAAACATTTATAATAGTCTTATCTTTCTTCTTTGGTGTCTTCGCCCATTTTTGGAGGATAAAAAATTGTAGAGGAGTCATCCGTCCTCTTTTTTCTTATCTCTTGTCTACCTTTTTTTTCTTCTTTCTTGTCTACCTTCTACCCAACAAAGATAATTTGTTTCTTTTTTCTCCTCTTCCATCCACTCTTCTTCCTTCTTTTTTTACCAAACAGAGCATTACTATCTCCCCTTACTAAAGAAAAATATAATAAAGTCTGTTTAGACAAAAAAGTATTTTAAAAAATTATCTTTTATTATTCTATAAAAAAAAAAAAAAAATCACACTTTTTAGAACTGAGCTTTCAATCAATATTTTTGAGAAACAAATAAACCAAATAGATATTTGTAATTGTTATGAAAAACAACTGAACTAAACAAGTCCATAATCTTTTCTCCCGTTTGTCTCTTTTCCCTCCCCTCAAACATGGGCACTTAGGGCTCTAGTTGCCTTTTCTATCATTCTCAAAAGTACACCATTCACCTTATTAGGTCTAAATACGAGATATTCTACTGTTCTATGTAAATATGGAATGACAGATGTCATTATGACATCATTTTTCATTAACATAAATACAATTGAATATTAAATATTATATATTAAAATTAATCCAATCAGATTCTTTTTGATCCGTGAAAATTGAATTCAATCCCATCAATTACTTTACAGATTGGATATGATTAGGCAATAAAAAGAAAAAACAAAGAACAGACCCAAAATTTACTCATATCCGATCAACTCCTGCTGGTGCTTGGGGATGTGATTTTAATTATGTTCTCATACAAAGAACATATACAAAATCATGGTTCGGCGTATTAATTGATGGTTCGTAATTACTTTTTAAGAATTCGACATCGTTACCTATCTATATTAAATCGTTACCTATCTATATTAAATCATTAATTTATATCAATATTTATCTGAATTCATTACATCAGTAATCACAACTACAAATCAGGCTCAAAACTAAACATATTTCACCATAGAAACTTTTGCTCTAATTGGTTTTTCTCTTTTAGAGCAACAGTCAATTTAAAGCATGTGATCAGTTGAGTGTGAGTACGTACTTTATCACAGTAAAAAAAGAAAAAATTGAAACTTTGCAATGCAATTAGGGCTAAGGCGCGTAGGGGGTGGGATTTCGTCCTTTATAAAATGGACAGATCTGGGGTGGGACCCTTACTGTGCCCCCATTAGGGTAACTTTAACCGTCGGATCCGGCCGGTTGCATCCCGGCCGCACATATTTTGATGGACTTTATAGGTATGTCAGTATTATACAATTGTGTTTTAGGTTAATGGGATGAATTGTAGTCAGCTTTTAATTAATAGGTGGAAAAAAGGGTAAAGATTCAGTTTTCTTATTCTTCTTGGGATTGGTGGTAAAAGACCTCAATCGTTCTATAAATACTGCCCCACTCCCCTTCCCCTAAACCTACACTACACCCCATTTTCTCTCTCTATACAAATATATCTCTCTCCCTGTTTCTCTCTCTAGAAACCCTGTTAGGGTTTGAGGGTGAGATATGTATGGCAGCTTTCACCCATCATACCCAAAGATAGAGGAATTGGTTGTCTTTGTATTCTTCCACAGCTTTCTTGAACTGCATCATCAATATATCATACCTGATTCAGTAGTTGCGGTTCAATAAAGCTGTGGGAAGATACAGAGAGGATCAAAGAAAAATGAAAATTTCAACATCAGATTTGGTATTATTTGCATGGTTTCCTGATCTGTCCTATATATCGGTAACTTGTAGAATTCTTTTTCACTATTCTCTGAATCATCTGATGCAATCTTGATAATTCACAGTTTTTCTGATTACAATATACTGACAGTGGGTAGAATCTTCATGTACAGTACTATAAGATGGGCTGATTTGTGTCATCTCTATTGGTACTTCATGGTACACCATAGCGTTTGATATGGGGGAGATCCAATAGATTTTTTTGCAGGTACATATTGTGGATGTTTACTTTTAATTTTATTTTGTTTTATCAGTCTAATTTTCAATGAAGAGTTACATAATTTTTTTTTCCTCCAAACTTCTACTGATTTGATTTGATTTAATCTTATCAGGTAAACAGAATTCTTGGAATTGGTTGAGTTAAAGTTTGGTGATTAATGTAAACAATGATCAGTTACATATGTAGTCCTTTTTTTGGTTGATTTAATGTGTTCATGTTGTCAATGCTAGCAAAAAGAATTATTGGAGTTGTTTTTTACCATGATCAGTGAGTGATAATCTGTTTTATAGATGCCGTCTATGATGCAATTTATTCTCTCATACACACACCCCTACCCAGCTACAAAATATCTACTCACTTAACAAATTAAATTTACCCTTCAAATATATATATATATATATGTGGTAAATTTTCTCTCCCCTCCATGAATATATACAAATCCAAATGATGGGAAGGATTCAGTGAATGGCTATGACTGTAGAGGGAATATTGGTTAATTCCTTTGTAAATGATATATTTTTGTCTTTCTTTTCATATTCTAATGCAAGGTTTTTCTTTAGGTTCCATTGCAGCCAAAAGATGAACTGGCTCAGGTATGTGCATGACTACCATCAAATATTCCAAAATAACATGTCACCAACTCCTTCATCTAGGAAGCAATTAATTATAGCTGTCATTTATAATTTAGAAAAGAAAGAAAGCTTAACTCAAAGCATGTGTTACTCCATAAGTGAGCATGACTGAAATTTTCACTAATATTAATTTACCAGTTTTGTGCATTTTTTGTGGGCACAAGAAGAATGAACAATTTCCTTGTATTGAATGTTACATGGACAACAAGGGCTGGCATTGCCTTTTCTCCTATGGAACTCCCCACCAACTTATTTCAACCAAATTTTAAAGCCATTCATATGAAACCTACAAAGTTTAGGTAAAGCTTTTTATGAAAAAAGAATATAACATAACTATCTGGTTAGTCTGACAAACTAATTGTTCTTTTCACCTCGGGATAAAAAAAAAACCCAGTTGAACTTTAAAAGTTTTGCAGAAGAGAAACTAGTACAAGAAAAATTAGGGTTTTTCTTAGTCATAGTAACAACAACTATGTTGGAAAAAACTGCTGGTCTAGATTACTGCAAGAAACATATGGTTGTCATGTTATGACTATGATGCATGCATTAAGATCAGATTATGGGCTTTGTTTTGTTCTTTTTTTTTTTTTTTTTCTCAGTAAACATGGTTTTTCTGTTTGGATTCTATTTAAAACATGGTTTTTCTGTTTGGATTCTATTTAAAACATGGTTTTATTAAGAATCATACCAAGACCTGTGCCCAAAAAAGGGGAAAAAAAAGAAGTTACTTCCATAGAAAGCTTTGTGTTTGATTACAAGTATTCTGCATTAAGTGGCCGTTTGGGTGTTTGTATATTTAAACTTGTATAGCTGTATTTACAGAGGCGACTGGGATGTAAACTTAGCTGGATTGGCAGAGCTCTAACAGCAGCAATCAGAATCCATACATGGGCCACTGTTTATTGTTTTATGAAGATATGAAGATGTTACATCTTAATCTTCTTTTATCCTCCCTTTGATAAGAAGAAGGGTGGAAGGAAAATAGGAGGGAAAGAACAAAGTTTCTTTATTCGGTAAGAAAGAGACACAGAGAGGGGAAAATAGGAAGGATAACTCATCCCTCCTTTACAAATATTCATCCGCTCAATCCGCCCAAATTTGTGCGGAAGACATGAGAGAAAACAAACGCAAAACCCTATCAAGAAGAACTCCCAATCTCTCCGCGTCTTGCTATCACCCTATACATATACATAGATCCACATATAAATATGATCAAATATAAATATGATGAATTTATGCTATCACTCTATACATATACGATCCACATATAAATATGATCAATCAGTTTATTAATGTCCGCAGTTTTTATACACTGATTTGATTCATGTGATGTTTTTATACACTGATTTGATTCATGTGATATACACATATAAATATGATCAATCAGTTTATTAATGTCCGCAGTTTTTATACACTGATTTGATTCATGTGATATATATATATATATGAGTCGAAGAAAATTGGAAACGAATGAATCAAAGTGGCTGCCAACGTATTCCGGTAAGGACCTTTCAATTGGAGCATTATTTGTTTGATTCAATTCCCCAAGGATGTTTCCAATACCGCTACTCCGGCTGAAACAATTGTAGCTCTTACACAAGCTATTTCTTAACCTTGTTCTGTGCCCCTTTTAATTTACAAGAATCATTTTAATGGAGTGTAGAATTATTAAAATTTACAATGATCATTTCAATTTATCTTTTTCTTAACAATTTGTAATTGACAATCTATGATTGATTAAGGAATGTTGTCCTTTTTTTTTTTTTTTCAAAGGGATGGGTATAATAGTAAAAATAATTTAAAATTATCTCTTTTCTCTCGTAACCAATAAAAGTTCATATTCTCTTTCGTATGGATGTCTCATCCTTCCTTTCTTCTCTCCCTTTCATCTAATTTTCCTTCCTATCAAACGGAGCATTAAGCTCATTACTATAACACACACAAACATATATATATATGTATATGTATATAATGAACTTCTCCTCTTTTCGCTGTAAGATTCCTTAATTAGAGTTTATGTTCTTGTGTTATGATGGAGAAAGCACCAAGTGTTGTTTAAAAGCACCTTTTCTATTGTTTTTTTAGTATTATGTATGGTGGAATAATTTTTTTATCTGCTTTACTTTAGAGGGTCAATTGCTTGATTATAAGTAATAATGAAGGTTTAAAGTTAATTAATTATATGGGATCAGTGTGATTAAAATAATGTCTGATATATTTTTACCTACCACTTGGCCAAGTCAAAAGGTCCGGAATTGTTTGTCTGTTTTGTTTTTGTTATTTTTCTTTTGTGATTGAAAAGCCAAGTGTTGGACATTTCTTAGTTCTTAGTTATTCTTTTTTAGCTAGCTATTCTTTGAAATTTGAAATTTAATTGGCCATGGTAAGCAAGAGAAGTAAAAACAATGTTATAGATGGTTCATATTATTATATATAGTGATATTGTTCTTTTAATAACCTTAATAGTGTCAAAAACAGAACTCAAGGGAAGTTAAATTGCCTCTATTCTCAAGTCCATTTCATGGTAGACAAAGTTCCCATCAATGGTTGTTGGGCACTTTAGATTCGTATCATGTCTTGTTCAATCAACTAAAGCAATATATTAATATTTAAATTCCCAATAGTGACGTGACTCTTCTATTCCTCCAACATATTGGGACGCCATTATTGTCTCTCCATGCCTTCTCTCTTTCACTTGCTATTGATCTATTCTCAACCATGTTTTCTTCTAAATCCATCTATTTTCATATTATTTACACGCACATGCGCGCGCCCACACACACACACACACAAAGTATCGTTGGCATTTATGGATTTATATGTAAACATTTGCATTCTTTAAGGCAATTAAACAAATCCTTGCATTTTGGTACCAAGCTCATGCTTGTAAGGTCATTTGTGAGACAATAATACTTGTATATACTGACTGACTTTCTCATGAATTCATACATCATATATACAGTAGAAAGGATGATACTTGGCCAAAACGTACACTTCATTAGCTGTAGAGTTTGGATTGATGTGATACATATATCAAGTGGTCAGCCATGGCTGATACACATTAAGGCGAAAAACTTGCTTGAATTCTGGGATAAAAAAAGCTATTGGTACCTCAATTAGTTGTGGAGGGTACAGATACATTGGTTCTCCTCTTTCAGTTTTTAGGGCAGACAGCCTTTGGAAATAGTTTCTTCCTTTTTTTTTTCTTTCTTTTTTTTTTTTCGTTTTTTGTCTGTAAGGAAAAATTTATTGAAAGAGAACTGTACAGAATACAAGCAAACAAGCCACAAGGTTTTGAACCCACCAAAAAGGGTACACCAGAAAACAAAGCCTAAACGCAGACTACTATACGTCAAACTCAAAACAGAAGGCGCCAATGGTTGAATAGAGTAGCGACAACTTTGAATTGATCGAAACCTAACAGAGAGCAACCAATTCCTTATTGTGTTTACAGATTGAAGTCTTTTTCCAAATGTTTACAGATTGAAGTCTAATAGGGAAAATTGAACCTCTCTACAAGGAAGAGTTATTTTACCAGTGGCTCATTTTATCTGTCTCATTGAAACCCACAGAAACTGAGTACTAATTTATATAATTGGTTAGTGCACATTCACTAGTACTTGTTGTCTTCTAAAATCTCTTCCAAATCAGGCACAGCCCAGATTAATCTGAGAATGTTACCTCCGCCTGTCATGGCAACTATGTAAGACCCTTTTCGTCATAATTAGATCTCTATATTCCCAATCCAATCCACGTTTGTTTCATTCACTGAATAATCATGGCTAGTAGGACAATTGAGATAATCAAAGTTAAGCAATGACAGAAAACTATATCTGGTTAAATATTTTTGGTGGAAAATTTAAAAAATTAGGTTGAGGGACAGAGAGCCAAATTTTATATAGAAAATTGTCCACTGGAGGGGAAATTAAATAAAAAAAGAAAAAAAAAAGAAAAAGAAAAAAAAAAGAGAGAATTAAATACAGTAGCTGACATAATTTATGCAATTCACCCTACTAGCACAATAATTATTTCATACCACATGAAAGCCGTAATTTGTTCAGTTCCATTGCAGTCTTGACACACTCTTCATTATTATCTAATATGCCAGTCACCAACCATAGAAGCAGAGAATAACATGCATGACATCTAACTGGAAATGCACAACAAGTGTTGGGTAGCGCTCGGCTGATATTTCAAAATCCCAACCAATCAAGTGCTCTAGACTTCTAGTTTAAGAGGTAGCTACTACTTAAAATTATGTGTTCACTTAGATAGTCATAGAGAGAAGTTAGAGAGCCTAAAACCCTGAAAGAAATAATAATAGGGGCTTATTTTAAGCATTTGCATCATGGTAAACAGAACTACCATGCTTCATTGTCTGCCCTATTTAGACTCATTTTTGTGGACCTACCATTCAAAATTGTTGCATTCATTTGGCAAAACATATCAAACACTTCACCTCCCATTTCCTTCTGTGCTTTAATTTTGGGAATTCTTAATGCGCGCAGATTGTGAACTATGATGATTAAAACTGATCAGGGGAGCCAAATATGGTGATGACATGCTAATTCATTCAGCTAATGAGTTATTTATTTATTTATTATTATTTTTTTTTCTTACTTACATTTCAAAGATGATTGAAAGAGAACTTAGAAAACAACAGAAAAGTACAAGAACAATTAAGGTGTGCCTGTGGGCAGCTCAATTCTGAGTTTTTTCAGCTACATATGGTTAGCTCACTCATTGTGTGCTCAACTGGGGAAATCCCAATTGATCAATATTTGCCGAGCATTGCAGCGAATTTCTAAATTATTGATCTGCGGTTAACAATTGAAGTTTGATAGTTAAAAAAAAAAATGATCAACAGAATTAAATTAAGGTAAACAGATAGAATTGAATTCACAAATGAAACTGATCGAGGAGTACATGCATCTCAGAGAGAACACATGTACATATTTACTTTTTTGTTAGCCTTTGCCTTTCCTGTTTACAGATTTCTTCATAGTTATACATTTTTTGCATATAATGGGGGAGAGGAAAAAAAAAAACCCTGCAATTTTCACATTCCTTTTGAGTGTAATCATATGATTGTTTAAGTTTTTGAATATAATGTATGTGCTTGTGTTGTTTATAAGATATACAAATTTCATTTGAAAATTCAGTACTTTTGGATGTTTTCTTTGATTCCTTTGATGATCCTCTTTCAATATTTGAGGTCTTTGAATGCCATCCAAAAGGGCAGTGAAAAATTATATGCAAACTAAAAATTGAAATTTATGTAAGTAAAATATTTTAAAAATTATTCAAAATATAATTCAGGGTTTATCATCAAAATTAAATCTATTTATAAAAAATGCAAATAAAGAAGCTTAAATACCATTCTGACCCCAAATTTAGCTGTAAACTTTGGGCATTAACATAATGTACAATTATGAAAAGGACAAGAATAATTTGTCACATTCCAGAAAAAAATAATAATAATAATTTGTCGATTTTAAATGATTCAAAGAATTTTATGCAATACAAACAATTAATTAACAATAAGTCCCAGAGATCGAATTACCCACACTAAGAAAAAAAACAAAAGGAGGAACAAATAATTCTGTGGTTTGTGGTAACGTTGGACAGCTAATTAAGATCAACAGCTAAACAGGTCTGTCATATTCACAACAGATGAATTTTTTTGTAATGTATTGATATAAATTCCCATATTCATTTACCTCAACTGATGATGGTTGTGATTGTTTTAGAGAAGGGTAAATAATAAATATCTTCTACAACTTATATACGTATGTCTATATGTGTAGAGAGATAGGGGTAAAAAATGCTGGTTTTCACATAGGGACAAAGTTTGACCTTTTTCACAAAAATGTAGGAGATCATTACAAACAGAAGCAAAAACAAAAGCCAAATAAGATTTACTATCAGTTATTGTTGATAAAGGGAAAAAGTAGGGAATCTTCCCTGCAACATATATGTATATATATATAGCTCAGTTTTTATATTATAGTATAATTTTCTTGAGTAATTCAGGCAATTCTTCAACCCAAATTAGAGAATTTAACAGAAAAATTCGGACCTACATCACAATTCAACATCACAACCATCTTCTCTAAAAGAAAATGCAGTAATTCCACTGAATTATCAAAAATTATATAATATAAATCTCTATTTCTAAATACATATATATATATGAAATGGGTTTGAATTACACACCGGAACAAACACAATACACACACACACATAACAGATATATACGACAATTACCTGGCTTGCGTGCAGCAGATAAAGCACATGGTCAGCTGCACCATCTGATCAGAAAAAATCCTGAATTGCCATGTTTTCCCACAGCTTTCTTGAACTTCCATGGTTGATCTCTCTCTAGCCAGAGTGATCAAATTGGTAGAAGAAGTTCAAGAAAGCTGTGGAAGAACATGACAGGATTTGCAAAATTCTTTTAAATTTTCACTTCAGATCTCACACAAACTCATCTTCTTATCTTAATTCCACTATGTAGCTTAGATGAGTGGATTTGGTTGTTGATATATACTGTACAAGAATGACATTTAGAGAGAGAGAGAGAGAGAGAGAGAGAGCAATGGAGGAGTTGAGATGAACCATGCCCAAACAAATGATCATGGACCACACTAGCATGTATAATCTATGTCTTACCAGCTTTATAGAGAGGGGAGGGGGGTGAGTAGGGTTCACTTCACTCACACATGGCGCATTTTACCCACATAATGCCTGCTTTTCTTGTGAGTGCGCAGTGGGGTAGCTTAGCTACAGGCCTACAACAGATGGGTCAAAAAATTAATTAAATAAACAAAAAATGCAACAAATAAATGAAAATTAAAAAAGGAAAAGAATGATAGAAAAACATCCCATGCCCATCACATGCCACCATGTGAACATGATTTCTTTATATTATATAGCAAAATGCAAATTAAAGGTATGGGTGTTTCTATGGTCCCCCAATCGTTATGTTTTCTTCCTCGTCACACGCGCATATTTATTTATTTATCTAACCCATAATATAAATTTTTTTCCCCATACATGACCATGTATTCTAAAGAGAGGTGCACACAAATTCTGATAAGGAGACTTTAGTCTGCAGGAGTAGGAGTTTCTCTTTTCCAACTCATATTAAATAGGCAATGTGTAGTTGTATTGTATCTTTTTTGTGATAGCAAGTGCCAGAGCAAATTGTTGTCGAATCCAAGAAAACTAATTCAACAGATGTGTATAATTAATAAATTTAGCTCAAGAAAAAAAAATTCAAATTGCACTTAAACCCTTGTGTGTTTGGATGAGATGATTTTGAGGGATTGGGAGAGAAAATAAAACAAATTATACAGTTCAAGTGTGTTTGGATGAGTTAAATGGAGAGAAAAGAGATGATATGGAAAGATAGGGAGGTATGGATATCTATCCCTCTCAATACCTTTCTACCCTTATCAATTCAAATATGAATAAAAATTATTATACCTATGTATCCAAATGCACCCTAAAGCACTATCAAAAAGTTACAAAATAACTCATTTATTATTTTTTAACAACAGATACTCTCAATTTATCAAAATAACAAATTACTCCTATGTGACAACCAAACGTTGATATATTTTTTTTACGAAATCATTAGTTAAGGGTAAAATGAGCATCCATAAGGGTATTTTTGTCAAAATCAATCCATGTATCACATGCATTGCACATGACCACTTCGGTAAAAAAATTCCCTACAAAATTTCTACCGCACAGATGAGTTTAGTGCAATTTCACCAAGAAAATCTTAAAATATATAGGCTTAATGTAAAAGCCATTATAAACTAAAAAAAAAAATTAAACAAAATGAGAGGGTTATCATAAACACAATATGTTTGTTTGGAATTTTTTAAACTTGTAAATAAATTATTAAGGCTTGCGGTTTAATGGTATGCATTCTTCTTTCAAAGTGAACGGCATGTGATTGGAGAAAGGAATTTGTTTAAGGTGACGTTGTTCAAATAGGATAAAATAGATAAAAAAAAATTTAGCTAATCAGTGTAAAGAGATAACAAATCATAAATTCGAAGTGTGGTGAAGGTATATTAATCAAAATTCATATAGAATTTAACAAATCGAATAATAATTGTTAAAAAGAAATTAAAAAATTAAAATAGCTTAATTAAAAAAGGGGGAGATAAGATATGATGCAAGTAGAAATAGATCGAAAATAAGAAAGGGGATAACATAAAGATATGATTATGATCAATGTCATTTGATGTAGCAAAAATGAAGAGAGGAATGGGCCAATCAGGGAAATAACTCACAACAGCCCGTATTTGTTGCTGTTGTGGGGTGGGCCCATGAGAGGTGTGATGGTGGGTCGTGGACTTCACTTTCCCTCAATTGGCTTCATGATTTAAAATGTTCACAAGCACCCGTTACTGTCAGCTCCATCTCATCACCGCCATTCGCATTTATCAGTTTAATTTTCAGTTTGGTTTTTGTTTGTGTTCGGCGCAAGTGGGTGTATCTACCTGTGTCTGTGTGTATATATATATACAAATATATATATAAAGACGGACAAGTTCACTGTGGTGTGCATCTGTAGAGAGCCTAACTCTTACGTCACTTTATCAGCTTTAACAACCACCGTCTGATGCCAAAGTCAGAGGTTTGCTCCACCCCTCCTTCATGCAGAAAATTTACAGTACTAACATATATTTTACCCTGTACATGGCGATTGCTTGGAGGCATCATAAAGTGAAAATACTACTACTGTCACACGTGACTGATCACATTACAGATTTAAATGAAATTAGATTGAATGGTTATAATTGATTTTTATTTTTTTTATTATTTTTTTTTTTTCAGTTAATACTCACAATGACGCACACTCCTCTCCAAAAAAATTGTTTGCACCTAATTGATTTTTATTTTTAAAATAACAGATGAGAAAAATGAATCTGAATACGTAGTTCATAAATAATACATTTTTTATATAAAATAAATAAAAATTGAATAATATTTGTATATTCAATACTAAAGTAAATTGTGGCCAAATACCTTTTAATTCAACAAATTAATCAGGTGAATATGTTTATTTATAGGCGTTTACAAGAGCTTATCTGATTCAAGGTCTAAATTAGGCACACTAAATCACATAAATGCAACTAATGGTGCAACCCTAATTGTCAAAACAATCCAATTCCCACCCGATTTTTTGGATGTTGTAGGACAGACTTTTTTTTTTTATTTTTAAACTCATATTAGACTTGGGTAGAATTTAATTTAACCCAACCTACAATTAGGCAAAAATATCATACATCTCGAACATACTCAACTTTAATATTGTTATGTTCTATCTAATTGGATGAAATTAGTGTCTATAGAATAAAAAATTACAATTTTAAAATACCATTTCATACAACTAAACTTAGCATTAATGAAATTACTCAATTATATGCACATGTCATAATCAAACCAGAAACTTACAAATCCCAGCTTAACTCAAGTTCATGATTCTGATCAAATTGAGTTTGTCAATTCGGAGGTTGAATTGTCCTAAACTTTTGATTTGAAAGTTCTATCACCTAAGCTTTGACTTTGGCTAAGAACCCTACAACCAGTCTAAAATGTAGGAAAGAATCTTCTCCAATCATTTTTCTTTTGGTGTATTTATAAACATCTATCCACTGAAACAACAACATGAAGTATGTTTTTCTTAATTAAGTTGATTATGAAACCAAAACATCATGGCACTTGTTAGAAAAATAATTACTCTGACACACTTTTGTTTTATAGTAAGATAAAAATAAATAAATAAATAAAGGAGTCAAACATTGGTGTACTATTTTCCAATGTTTTTTCCTGTAAACTGTTGGTGTTCTGTATAATTCGAGTAATAAATTTCCTTTATAGCCAAACATTGGAAATTAAACCAGTATAGTAATGTTTTTTTTTCAACTACGCAAGTGTCAAATCAAAGTACGTTTACGGTTGGTTAGTTACATCGCGTGTTCATTCTCGTGCGTCTTTACAGCGAAAACCCTAAAAACTATGTTTTAAGATGGATGCCCTCGATTCATCGCTGTCTCTATCAGTTTCTCTCTCTATACCTACATACATACATATATACATACATGTACCACAGACACACAGTTGGAGTGTATCTTTTTGGAGTGTTTGTCACGGAGCCACGGCGTCGTATGTTATCACGTGCTGCTGATTAATAGTCCGTCGGCGCTGTCTCCGCCTTTATCACGGCCCCACCTCTTTTTTTTCTTTTTCTTTTTACTTTTGAAAAATTATTTTAACACTGAATTATTAAAGTAAATGGTCAAATTTACTATTTTTAATTGGTTATTTCTATAACATATAAGATGGTAGATGTTAAAATATATAAAAATTAAAAAAAAAAAATGATAGAATCACCGAATGATTGCCCCGAATAAGTATCGAATTTAATATGTTTTTTGTCTACCTTATTTACTTAAAAAATTTTTAAAAAATAATTGTTTAGCATGTGATAAGTATAGTCAACCACGTCAAATTCAGAACTTATTCGGGAATTCCTTTTCGATTCCTCTATCATTACTCAAAATTTAAAGAGAATAATAACATAGAACAAAAGCCATAGGGACTTACATGAACAATACATAAAGCCCAAAGGGAGGGGCTACATCACTTTTTTATTATACTCTTTTAATTGTGTTTACAAATATCAACCTTTATTTCTAGGTTAGTTTAAAAAGAGTTATGAATAAAGAATAATAGAAAATATCATTGTTTTACGATAACAAGATTATAAAGTAAACATTTCAAAAAAAGTCAAAAGACAAATATGATAACAATCAATCAGTCATAGGAAAAACTTGTTACTTAAGTATATTAAATTTAACACTCCCCTCAATGTGGAACATGTATGAAAATAACATTCAATTTGTACATACATAAAGTCGGCAAGAGTGAAGAACATAATTATGAGCATTTCATCATAAAATTGGCATATAGCCAACAATATGCATTTAAGCATACAAAACATAACTATGCAGTGATAACATGATGAACCCTTGATCATATGGTCTCAAAAAATCATCGTGATCTATAATAGGGTACAATAAGCCTATTCTGATATCATGTTAAAATATATATAAAAAATAAAAAAAATTGAAGAAATAAATAAGATAAAACAACACACGAATATAACGTAGTGGTTCAGCTACTAGAGTTTATATCTACGGCACACAAAACCCAAATGGTTACATCACTTTTTTATTATATTCTCTTAGTCATGTTTATAAACACCCACCTCTATTTATATGTGAGTGAGTTAGAAAAAAATTATAAACAAAGAATAGTAAAAAATATTATTACTTTACAATAATATGATTATAAAAGAAAGATTTCAAAAAAAGCTAAAAGATAAATATGATAACAATCAATCAGTTTTATTAAGAAAAACTTGTTATTCAACTATAATAACTTCAACAATAGGTTTTTCACTTGTTATATTCGTATCAATAACAATCAAAAGCATTTAATTCACTTCAACTCTTCCATCGTGAGTATTACTACTTTTTTGAGTCTTTTTCTATTAAGCACCTCCGCTTTCACTTGCCGAAATTATTAGTATATGATCATAATTTCCCACTATTAATTTTGATCAATGGGAATGAGTTATGTAGCTAAGTTGGTAGAGACACTTCTCTTAGTTGCATGGAGTTCTCATTCAACTCACTCCAGCGCATCCTCCCTTCTCAACAAGTAAAAAAAAAATTAAATCAAAAAATGAATGACAATTGCAAAACACACAGCCGAATTAAGTTATAAATAAAGTGATACAGTATTACTAGGTGGGACGATAATGTCCTAATAAAAATGGGTAAGGCTTTAAGTGCCTCCATTCTATGTTTTTAGATTTGAATTCCCTTCTCATATTCTTCACTTATATAAAATTTAATGTTAGGATACCACGTAAATTGTTTTTGTCATTATATTTAAATAAAAATTCT